ATGAATGCCTGGTTTCGGCTCATGCTTCACAACTTTCTAAGTTCTCTAAAACAAAGAACAGCCAGCCTCAGCGAGCTCCAAGCTCCTCTTCCATTTGCTATGAGGCCCAGGGCTGGCTCTAGGCAGCCAGCCTAGGTTCACAGATTGGCATTGCCTGTGAATCTCCAAACCCACAAGTAGCAGCCATCTGCAGATCATGCAGGATGGCCCTGGGAAAAACACAGGTTGGGGCTTACCTTGGCCTGCACCACTTGGGAAACTCCAGAGCCTGTACACCCAGTGGACCACTACACACCTTGCTGAAACACCATGACCCTGCCCCAGCACAACTGATCCTCCATAGAGAGTGGAGGTTGGTGGTCAGTGGTCACAGCCAGAACTTGCAGCTGACTGGCCTGTGTAAATCCTTCCCATTCACCTGACAACAGCAATCAAGGATCAACTACAAGAGGAGGGTGTACTCAGCCCACATGGAGGGCACACCTCAAGTACCCAGCTTGAATGATATGGAAGGCTGTGCCACTGGACCCTACAGGACACCTGCTACATTAGGCCACACTATCAAGACAGGAAGTCATAGCAGCTCTACCTAATACATAGAAACAAACACAGGGAGGCTGCAAAAATTGAGGAGACAAGGAAACCTGACCAAATGAAAGAAGAGAAAAAGAAGTAATCAAAATGGAGATAAGCAATCTTTCAGATGCAGAGGTCAAAACACTGGGTATAAAGATGCTCAGGGAACTTAGTGAGGACCTCAGCAGCATAAAAAGATCCAGTCAGAAATGAAGGATACACTAATTGAAATGAAGAACAAGTTATAGGAAACAACAGCAGAGTGGATGAAGTTGAGAATCCAATCAATGATTTGAAATATAAGGATGCACAAAACAACCAATCAGGGCAACAAGAAGAAAAAAGAATCCAAAAAAAATGAGGATCGTGTAAGCAGCCTCTGGGACAACTTTACAAGGTCCCACATTAACATCATAGTGGAGCCAGAGGAGAAGAGGGAGAGCAAGAAATTGGAAATCTATCTGAAAAAATAATGAAAGAAGACTTCCCTAATTTGGTGAAGGAAATAGACATGCAAGTCTATGAAACACAGAGAATCCCAAACAAGTGGATACAAAGAGGGACACTCCCAAGACACATTATAATTAAAATGCCAAAGTCATTTTTAAGATTCTCTGTTTATCTTGGCAAATGCCAGTTAGAATACAAAGACAAAGACAATCTTAAAAGCAGCAAGAGAAAATCAGTTAGTTACCTATAGGGGAGTTCTCATAGCACTGTCAGCTGTTTTCTCAAAAGAAACTTTGCAGGCTAGAAGGGATTGTCAGGAAATATTCCAAGTCATGAAAAGGAGGGACCTACAGCGAAGATTGCTCTACCCAGCAAAGCTATCATTTACAATCGAAAGGTAGATAAAGAGCTTCCCCGACAAGAAAATACTAAAGGAGTTCATCATCTCTAAACCATTATTACATGAAATGTTGAAAAGACTTATTTAAGAAAAAGAAATCAAAACTATGAACAATAAAATGGTGGTAAATAAATCTATATCAACAATTGAATCTAGAAAACAAACTAAGCAAACAAGAACAGAGACAGAATCATGGATACAGAGAGTGTTTTCTTTTTTTTTTCTTCTTTTTATTGAAATTTTTTCCCATTTTGTCCTCTTATATCCCCTTTCTCCCTGCAATCACCATGCTGTTGCCCATGTCCATTAGTCCTTTGGAGAGCATTTTGATGGTTGCTGGATGGAAGGGGGATTTGAGGGAATGGGTGAAGAGCAATGGGGATTAAGGAGTACAAATACTTGATAATTACGGAGTAGCCATGGGGATGTAAAGTACAGTATAGGAAAAGGAGTAGCCAAAGAACTTACATGCATGGCCAGTGGACATGAACAAAGGTTTGGGGATTGCCTGAAGGATTGGGGGGTACTGCATGGATGGAGTTAAAGGGGAAAAAATGGGACAACTATAATAGCATAACCAATAAAATACAATTTAAAAATTAAACAAATGTGCTAAAACTAGATATTTTAAATATATTTAAAATTAAAAAATGAACTTTTAAAAATTTGGCATATTTCCTTGCTCTTGGTATATGATAATAGTTCAGATGGTAAAATGGCAATTTGAATTAGAAAGGATTTGTTTCTTTAACTTACTGTTATAATTAGAATTTACAACTGGGACATGAAAACAATTATATTTTCCTCCTCCCCCCCCCAAGCTCCACCCTATCCACATACAAATAGACAGTTGAGTTTAGTGGTCAAGAATACGGGGTTTGGATTCAGGTAAACCTTTATTCTAATCCCACCTTTTCATTTACCAGTCTCCTTACTATGGACAATATTCAGTGTTTTAAGCTGTACTTCCCACTCTTTCCACTACTATAAAATGGGGATAAATAGCTACCTTACAAAGTTCTAGAAGGTTAAATGATATAATGCATTTAAATGATATAAGTAATATAAAGGTTAAATGATGTACATCATTTAACAACACTATGGGGAGGGTGTTTTTATTATCCTCATTTTATAAAAGAGGAAACTAAGACCCAGAGGAAATTAAATAATAAAAATAAATATAATTTATATGATCTACTTTTACCACATGATAATAAGTTTAATAAAATTTTACTACTAAAAGAAGGAAGCTTTTTAAAAATGTTTTTTAATCTGGCTTAAGGTTATTATGTTTCATCCAAAGAAGTAAATAAGAGAGAGACAATCTCTGTTTTTTTCTCTTATCTTACCTGTGTCTCAGCCCAACAAATTTCAGAAAGTTACAAAATAAGACAAATTTAGGTCATAAAATTGAGGAGAGGTAGAAAGGGGATTTTCTGAGAAGAAACAAGAATAAGAATAAATGTTCTTTCTTTTCTAGAAAGAGATGACTCTCCACTGGGTTTCTAAGAGGAGTCCTTATTTACTGTTTTTTGGAGTGCAGGCTACTGGTCAAGACTATTATGGGGAATGGAAAAGACAATGGGCTAATGTCCAGGGTTTTCAATGAAGGAAGAATGGGCCCTTCTACTGAGGTCATGTGTTCTCTGAGGCTTTGGCTGACGCAGCATCTGTCTCCCAGGTAGTACCAGTTGAATCACCAATCCCACAAGTCTGCCAGTTTTGTTATGAAATCCATGTGTTGAATAATTTCTGTAGAGCTTTCAGTTGCCACTCTGACCCAGCAGTCTTATGAATGTAGGCAGCATGGTGTTTTCAGCAGCCATAATGTATTTTTTACTGTCTGCTATGTTGGAAGTGTTGTGTTCAGTTCTTGGTTTTACTTTTAAGATGGCTATTGTCATGACACCTGGGAAGGCAACTGTGGGTCACAAGACTTCATCTCCAATTATCCTAGATTTTGTATTATTTCTCAAGGAGGGTAATTAGGGGAGTGGGATATGTGTGTATGCATTTCAAAGTCTTGAGGAACAGTTTACAAATCTAGGATTCTTTGAATGAGAAAAGAATAATCATGGCACTAGTATAGCTGTTTAAAAAATTCAAAGGACTTTAGTAGGAGGTTAAAGTATTTTGAGAGAGTAGAACTAGTACTGGTGGGTTGAAGTTAGCAGATATTCCCTATGCAATCTTAGGAAGAACTTTTTGCCATTGGCAAGTGTCCAAATGGGGAGTATGTTCCCATATGAGATAGTGAGCTTCTCAGTATCAGAAATGCCTGAGGTATTTCATGGAGATTCATGTGCTTGGTAGAATATTGGAGCAAATGAATTTTGAAGTCCTTGTAAAAAAAGAATAGAATATTATAGAAAGCTTGTAGTATGCCTGTTCACCATTTGCAGTCTTCTTCCTCCATTCCTCAGCAGTGAGCACCTAGAAAATAACAGTGCTATTTTATGGGGCTGTCTTTCTTCCCTTTGGTCATACTGAGTGCTGATGTATTATTGTGGCTCATTTCTTTTTTTATTGGAACTAATTTAATTATTTTTGAACCTTTGCAGTGAATTCCACATAATTGCTATGCCAATATTTAGCCATTTCCTTACTCATTGACTTTATGTTTTCCATTTTTCATTCTCACCAAATAGGTGGTAATGTACATTTTTATATTCTATGATAGCAATCTAAGGTTTTTTCTAATTCTGCTTCTAACTGATGAGTGGAAAATTATCAGTTGTGATTCCCCTCTCAAACGCACAGAAGTCATTGTGGATTTTGAAAAGATGAATCCAGACATCCTGGGTAGCATTAATGGGAAACAAAGTAGGAATGATTGATGTATTCTTTTATAAAACTATAGTAGCTTATTTTCTTTCCAGTTTCAGACATATAAATCTGCTTCATGACTTTACAAAGCAATTAGCTTTAACAGAACTTTTATCCTTTTTTCTTTATACCTGGAAAGATCTAGCATAGTGGTGAACATAAACTGGGCTCCTTGGTCCATAACTGTTTGCAGTTGTTATTGTGCCACCCAAGGGAGGCATGGAAAAGGCCATCTTAAATGGGGTTTTCTAAATAAAGGCAGAGGAGCTCTGGCATTCCAGTCTCCTAGGGCCCTGGTTAATGTAGCTGATACCTGGGCCGGCTCCCAGACCACTGACTTAGAATATCTGGGAAGATGGTTCCTATCTCCATGCTCCTTAAGTAGTTTGATAACACACCTGGTTTGAGAATAAGACAACTGGAATGATTTGAAGGGGCCAGAAGAGTAACTAGTTGACAAATTACAATGGGGGAAGATTTTTCAGAGTAAGGAAAATTACTATTGATAAGACTAAGGAACTTTCTTTTCCTGTTTTTCTGAAAAATTTGCTGCAATAACTGAAAATATAATTTTAATAGTGTTAGAATGTTGTTTGGATAGATTTTAAACAGCCTCTGGTATTATTACCCAGTTGATATACATCACTATTAAATTTATTAGTTGGTATGATTTTGTCTTCTGTTGAAAGCCAGTAATTACATATAGTATTTCTGAACTATTGTATTTACCTATTTTCTTTTCTTCCAGGCTGCTCTTTATGGATGTGGCTGCTGGGCTGAAAATACTGGAACTCATAATCCCTACTCCACAGCTGTGAGTACCTCAGGTATTTGCTGCTTTCATGACCATTTTTCATAACTTCAGCCTTGTAGGTCATTTAATGATTGAAAACAATATTTTCATGTAAGAATAAAGCATGTGCTAAAACACTGCATAGACAAGAACACTAATACATAAAAGATCTGTGATATTTGAGAGCTTTTAAGAGTTTCACAATGTATCACAGTGTAAATGCTTTCCTAACATTTTAACACACTTTTGGAGTTAACTGTAACTTAATAATATTTTTTATGCATTTTTTTGTCTAATGATTTATGATAGTGCCAAATTTAGATCACAGATATAAAAGAAGCAAGGCATTTCCAAAACCAAGTTGTGTTCTTCAGTAAAATGCTGACATAAAACTTACAAGGTACATTTCAAAATACATAGTTTATGATACCCAATCCTTTACATGTTTAATAAAATGTATATCCTGTGTTTGTACCTATATTATAAAAGTCATTATCATTTAGAAATGAGAGAGAGAGAGAGAGAGAGAGAGAGTGTGTGTGTGTGTGTGTGTGTGTGTGTGTGTGTGTGTGTTGGGGGGTGAATTTTAATAGGCAGAATGGTTGGTGTCTAGATCCAAGTTTTTATATGCTGTGTCGTCAGATGTACTTGAAAGCTTTTCTTTTAATGTGGTGATATGCATGGCTGACAACATAATATTGGTTTATATTGACAAAATAATACTGGTTTGCTTTTACCTATCAAGTTACAGCTTAGGCCTCTCCCCCCATATCCTCAGAATTTATTAGTAGGGAAGATTGATATGACTGCCTCTCCATCCTTTCCTTCTTCAGTCCAATTGCCGCCTCCTCCTGATAACTCTCGACTCTTTCTGTGATCTCTGATGAAGTTGGCTGTTTTCTTTATGGCTGTAGCAAAGATTCTGGAATTTTTTGGTTTGTCCTGCTTCTCTGACCTGTCTTTGCCTTCTTTCTAGATTCTTCCCATTGCTAACAGCTGCAGATTGAGGCCTCTGCTGTCTTTCCTTCATCTCACAGCATGTGTTGTCATGGTGATTTGGTGTCATTGCTGTGTTCCCATGATTTCTGCAATTATCTCTTAGGGTATTGGCTTTCATGTCTATCTCTACTATGGACTTTTCACTTGAGGCCCATGTGAGTCATTTCCTACTTCCTGTTGGACATGTCCCTGTGGGTGTCATGCATACACAGCATATTCACCAGACTCTGCAAACATGTTGTTTCTTATTCCCCCTCTTTGGCTATCTTTCTCCTGTACTCCCTATCTCTTTTATTGCCACCATTATCCTATTTGTTGCTCAGACTTGACATCTTAGTACCATTCTCATATTTTTTGCTTCTTTCCATTTCTGCTGACCTGTCATTTTCAGTCTGTACGATCTTGCCTGCCTGTTTTAGCAGACCTAAATTCACTCCTGACCTAGATTCATTCCTGTATCAGTGAAAAAATAAGACTCAACCACTAGCTATTAAGTGGTCTAAACACATATTAATATTTAGTATAAACCACAGTAATGTAATTGGTAAAAATTGTTTTCAGTCTTTTAATTTTGAAGAGATGAACGTAAAATGATATTATAAATTAATTTTTAATTTAATATTAGTAGCATGAAAATCTCTACACACAATATTTAGGAATTAGCTTGTGCAATGGAAAATTGTGGTATTTGAATAAACAGGAGTCTAAAATAGATAATTTATAATTTCATTTTTATTTTCTCAAAGAAGTATCAGTTTGTATCATCTGTCAGTTTTATTGTTGACCAATATGTTGTTCAGTAAATTGTTTTGCTATTCTTTAAATGTTATTCTCATGTCTAGACCTTAGGAAACCTGGATTCTATTTTTTAAGCTGAAATTCTGAGAGCCTATCTGATTTTGTCACTTCGGAAAATAAATTCAATTTCCTTGGGATTTTCCAAGCTCCCCGACCCTGATTTTTAAAATTGGTCATGTAGGTGGGATAAGAACACATTTACTGAATTTGATTCTGTTAAGTATAATGGAGTGGGTGGGTAAAACTAAAATTGTAAAATTAAGGTCTTTTTCCCTTACCCTTGGATATTTCCTTCTTTGCCTAACTTGCATCAGTTAAAGATAGTGTCATATGACTAAATATAAGCTTAGGTTTCCAATTCATGACATCTTTTGTAGCTTTTTAACTTGGATGCCCAGCTCACCATTCTACATCCTTCCCAAGTATAAGACTAACCATCATCAGCCCACAGAACCTGAAGATATTAGAGCAGGTCTCCAGTTTCTTTCATGTATAGAACTTTGTGTGATTGCTTTACCCTTGTTTTTCTGGGGGCTGTTGGTATGAGTTTGACAATGGTATGTATGGCAGAGTTGGGTGATCAACTCAGAAGAAAGGTGGAGCAAAGAATTTTGCAGTTGTTTGGCCAAAATATAAAACTTGTACCTTAGCCTATTGCAGAAAATCAAGAGACCTGGCCTACATTTTAGGTTTATAGTTTTTGGAAGGTGATAATCGAATGGCAAGAAGGAAGGTAGGTAGTTATGGTTAGGGTAGGGCTTTCCCAAGGCCAGACAGGACGTGATCATTAGTCTGAGGGATAAACTCCAGCATCTTGTTCTCATCACTGGGTAGGGAAAAATGAGTAGGGAGTGGGGAAGAGAATAAGGTGGCAGGAGCTGAACTTGGAAACTCTGACTAATGTTCTGGCATCATGGAAATTTGCCTAGGTAGGGAGGGAGCAGAGTGGATACCTGGGTCCTTTTTCAGACTCTTTCACTCATTGGCTGTGACCCTGTCAAGGGGTTATTTGTAAAATAAGATTAAATATCTATGTTAATATTTATGAGACTTGAATGAGTTAACATACAAAAGGAACCTAGCACACTTTTTGGTTCTGAGTATTTAAATGTATTTTGTTGAATCTAAATCACCCTCTTTTATAAGATACACCATTATTTAAAAAAAAATGCTAATTGATTCCTTTTCTTTTTTATTGTGGTAAGAACACTTAAAATGAGATCTACCTTCTTTACAAATAGTTTTTACCATTTTAACCATTAAAACAAAGTATAGTTGTCATAAAATGTTAGTTTCAGATATACAACATTGATTTTTGACATTTATATACCCTATGAAGTGATCACCACAAGTCTAGTAACCATCTTTCATAGTGCAAAGTTATTAAAATATTATCAAATATATTTCTTATGCTGTATATTACATGCCCATTTCTTATTTATTTTATATCTGGAAGTTTGTACCTCTTAATGCCCTTCACGTTTTTCACCCATCTACCTGCTCTTCTCTCTGGTAACCATCAGTTTGTTCTCTGGGTCTGTGAGTCTGTTTCTGGTCTTTTGGGTTTTTTTTTCTTTGTTTTATTCTTTAGATTTCACATATAAATGAAATCATACAGTATTTGTCTTTCTCTATTCAACTTATTTCAAGTAGCATAATACTCTGTAGGTCCATCCATGTTGTCACAAATGACAAGCTTTCATTCTTTATTATGGATGAATAATATTCCATATTGTATATATACCACAGCTTTCTTATCCATCTCTCAATGGACACCCAGATTACTTCATATAATTTGCCAGTATAGTCATGTGCTGCATAACATGCTGCATAAAAACGTTTCACTCAGTGATGAACTGCATATACAATAGTGATATATCATATAGCTTAGTTTTGTAGTAGGCTATTCCATCTAGGTTTGCATAAGTACACCTTAAGAGGTTTGCACAATGATGAAACCATCTACCAATACAGTTTTCAGAATGTACTCTTGTCAGTAGGTGGTGTATGACTGTATCATCTTTTACTCAGTAGGTTGCATTTTCTTTTTGTTGATGCTTTCCTTGATTTTGCAGAACCTTTTTAGTTGATATAGTCCTATTTGTTTATTTTTTTGCTTTTGTTGCCCTTGCCTGAGGAGACATTAACAAAAAAATGTTGCTAAGAGAAATGTTGGAGGGTTTACTGCCTATGTTCTTTTATGAGTTCTATGGTTTCAGGTCTAACATTTAAGTCTTTAACCTATTTTGAGTTTATTTTTGTATATGGTATATGGTATAAGAAAGTGATATAGTTTCATTTTTTTGCATATACCTGTTCTGTTTCTCCAACACCATTTAGTGAACAGACTGTCCTTTCCTTATTGTATATTCTGCCTTCTTTGTTGTAGGTTAAATAACCATGTAAGCATACGTTTATTTCTGTACTCTATTTTGTTTCATTGATTTAAATATCTGTTTTTGTGCCAGCACCATATTGTTTTTATTTCTATAACTTTGTAGTATAGTTTGAAGTGAGGATGTGTGATACTTCTTTGTTTTTCTTTCTCAAAATTGCTTTGGTTATTCAGCTATTTTTGTGGTTCCATATAAATTTTAGGATTATTGTTTTGTACAAAAAGGCCATTAGTATTTTGATAGAGATTGCGTTGAATCTCTAACTTGCTTTGGGTAATATGGACATTTTAATCCTATTAATCCTTCCAATCCATGAGACAGTGTATCTTTATATTTATTTGTGTTGTCTTCAGTTTCTTTTGTCAATGTTTTATAGTTTTCAGAGGACAGGTTTTTCACTCCTAGATTAAATTTTTTTCTAAGTATTTTATTCTTTTTGATGAAGTTGTAAGTGGGATTGGTTTCCTAATATCTCCTTCTGATAGTTCATTATTAGTGTATAGGAACGCAACAGATTTCTGTATATTAATTTTGTATCCTTCAACTTTACAGAATTCATTTATTCTAAATTTTTTTTGTGGAGTCCTTAGGGTTTTCTATATATAATATAATGTCATCTGCAAACAGTGACAGTTTTACTTTTCTTTCCCAATTTGGATACATTTATTTATTTTGCTTGTCTGAATGCTTTTCTAATACTGTCGTGAAGAAAAGTGGTGAGAGTAGGCGTTCATGTCTTCTTCCTGATCTTAGAGGAAAAGCTTTCGGCTTTTTTACATTGAGTATGATGTTAACTGTGGGTTTATCATATATGGCCTTTAAGTGTTGAGGTATATTTCCT